CCCATTTTCCTCTTCAGCTGGATGAGAGTGCAGTGGGAGAATGAGTCACAGGCCAGAAATAAACCAGGGTGTCTTCTAGAGAAGAACACAGATTACACATCCAGTAGACTTCTTTCCTAAGTACTGACACACAGGGAAGATACAAAGAATACTAAAAGAAGAAATGAGCCAGGCGCAGTGGCGCACGCCTGTAATCCCAGCACTCTGGAGGCTGAGGCAGGAGGATTGCTGTGAGTTCGAGACCAGCCTGGGCCACATAGCCAGTTCAAGGCCAGCCTGAACTGCATGGTGAGACCGTGCCTCAAGCAAAGCAAAACACAACAAAAAGGGTGGGGTTGGGGAGAGCGATAATCTGTACAGAAAGAAGCAGGAAGCAGAGTATGGATTTTCTTAATTATTTCAGAAAGTGAGTTCCAAAAAGCTCTGAAGAAAAATGACCCACAGCTGCTTGGTTTCCTTTCCAGAGTCTTAGCTGGAAAGGTCTGGACAGTTACTGGCCAGGAAACCTCGCTCTCTTCCTGCGGCAAGGCCAGAGCTGCAGATTCTCCGTAGCTTCTGCCAGACTCCAGTCACTCTGCCCTTGGTGAGCCGGGAGCCAGGTGCTCCTGTATCCAATGGCAGAAGGTGGGAAATTTACCCCAGCATGCAGGGACCACAGGCCCACAGCTTTAACCCTGTGGACGGTGGTTCATCAGAGAAAGCCGTTCCTTTCTCTGTGCCTCAGTCTCCCCTTCCTAACACAAGTGAGGGAAATGGAACTGTATCAGGTTTCGTTTCAGTTCTTACCGTTAAGCTTTTCAAGGTCCTCAGCCCACACTGTACCAATATGCAGTAAGAATTTTCCGAAAAGGCTGAGGACAAAAAGACAAGCAAGACAAATGTGGCAACATAGTTCAGAAACCAGAACTTTTTTATGAAATCAACATATTGCTAAAATAATCAGTTTTTCAAACTTACCTTTTCAACTTCTTAGTAGTTTTGTTTTGTTTTGGGGGGGTACTGGGGATCGAACTCAGGCCCTTGTGCTTGCTAGGCAGGCACTGGAACCACTGAGCTAAATCCCTGGCCCCTCTTAGTAGTTTTTAATTAAAAAATATTTTTAGTAATTAGTTATTTTTAAAAAGATAAATTCTTTTTGTTTTTGTTTATCTTTTCTTCTCTCTCTCTCTCTCTCTCTCTCTCTCTCTTGGCTTTAATAATCTCAGGTCTTGCCAGGTGCACTTGGGAGGCTGAGGCGGGAGGATCACTTGCCTGGACTTCAAGGCCAGCATGGGCTACATAGTGAGTTCAAGGTCATGATGCCTGACCTATAGAGTGAGACCCTGTCTCAAAAACTGATTTTTAAAATTGTTTCTTTTCTTTTTTTCCCCCTGTGGCTCCCAGAGAATTTAAAGTTATGTATGTGGCTGGTAATCGGGTTTGCATTCTTGAATACAGGGGCCATTCCTGTCTCATCCTGCAGGAGGTCCTAACAGGGAAAGCCTGATCCTTAAAACACCCAGTGCACTATCAGCAAATGCCAAACAGAACAGAAGCCTTAGGCCCCCTCCCCTCCAAACACTGCTGGAAACGCACTTCCTCTCTGCCCTCCTTTTAGACTCCAGGCTGAGGCTCTCCCCGAGCTGCTTTAGCCCCATCAGGTTCAACCCAAAGCTTCACTTTCTCTACTTTCAGATGCTAAGGTACCCAGGCTTCCTTTCTTGACGCTAGAGTCCCTGGGATGCCTTGAAGTCTCCTGAGCTTCCTCAACCAGCTCACAGTACTTTCTTCCTTAGGGTGAGAAGCTGGAGTCTCCTGTCTATGTGGCATCCTTCCTAGGTTCTTTTAAGTTGGGAACTCTGTTTCCCAGCATCTCCCGATCTTTAGAGTTCCTGATTGAACTCAGTCAATGAGACACACTCACGTTAGGTTTCGGAAGTCCAGGGGGAGGGGGAGGGGAGGAGGAGCCGATTTTTTTTGGGTCAGGTCCAGGAAGATGGAGGTTCAAAGCTGATTCCAGGTGAGGCCGAGAAGCTGCTGCATCTTTGATGCTGACCCAGACAGCTGGTGCAGAGCTCCCAGGCTCCGGTCTTGTACCGACGGAGACCCTTGAGTGGACCCTTTCTGATCCTCTGCCAGTGGCCCTGGCAGTTTTGTTATCAGAGCTTTCCCCCTTTTTTTTTTTTTTTTTAAGAGGGCTCTCTAAATTGGATTGGCTTTAGGCCTCACCAGAAAGGCTGAAAACTTCCTGGAGTTCTTACAACTGCAGCGGCTTCTTCCCTTCACCTTTCTCAGAGTTGTGCAGGCTCTAACTCTCTTTGTGCCAGGAAGAGAGTGGCTTTCCTTTCCATGACCTAAGTAGTCACTGCTCAAAAATGATTGTCAGCAATTAGAATCTGATCCTCTCAGTCGTCTTTGGTCCAGTGAATCTCAAGCCTAGAAGTAGCGACAATTTTCTTACACTAGAAATGCTAGTGAGAAAATAGGGACCGGGGACTTAGCTCAGTGTTTCCTCCGCTTGCCTCGCAAGTGCAGGGACCTGAGTTTGATCCCCGGTACCAAAAAAAGAAAAGCTAATGAGAAAATATTTAACACCACATAAACATCTCAGGGTAAGATCATTCTGAGCAACCACAGATGCAAATAATGTAGCGCTTTGGCGTGTACTTGGTAGGTATGTGAATGGGTGAATGAAGGGTGAATCCGAACATCTGTACATAAGTAATTTCTTAGCTTGATCGTGAACCATGGGCCATGCTTGTGTGCATTCTCACTGTCTCTACATTTATTGAGCACAGTACCTACAACTCCCAGCTGCTTTTCTGGGACAAAAACCATGAGTCACTTTGCGTTCCATTCCAGCACAAATTCTAGGAAATCTCAGAGTGCATCTGTAATTACTTTAGGGCTTTCTAGAAGTTGGAAACAGCACCTGATCATCATGAATTGTTTTCCAAGGGATGAGTTTTTTCCCCAAAGGCTTGACTACCGCAGCAGTTTGAAGAGGTTAAGTCCTCTCACTTTCTGCCCATGCAATCCATTTCCGAATGGTAAATAACAATGATAATTATTTTATTGGGGAAGAAAATCAAGGGGAATCCCCATCAGAAAAAAATCATGTCTGTGATTGTAAAGACCATAAACTTTATTTTTAAAATTTTTTTGTTTTTTTTGAGACAGGGTCTCACCATGTAGTGAGACTGATCTGAAACTCACTATGTAGCCCAGGATGGTCTTGAACTCACAGCGATCCTCCTGCCTCAGCCTCCCAGTGCTGGGATTACAGGTATGAGCCACCACACCTGGCCTTTTGTTTTGTTATTTTTTGTTTGTTTGTTTTGTTTTTCATAAACTTTAAAATTTAAGAATTAATTTCGGGTTGGCATTACATAGCCATTTTTAGGTATACACGTTTATAGGATGTTACTGTAGATTTCACGTTAAAATAAAACAAAAATATGAATGTAACATTCAGGGGCTTGGAGACCCCCAAAATATGTTTGAATGACATGGAAAAAATCTAGTTTCATATTTTGCTATTTTTTTCTAAGAATTTATTTTCTTTGTGTTTCTCATGTATACAAATAGAAAGCAAGGAGGGAGGATAGTTTCATGTTAATAAGGAATATGTAGATAACTACGTGAATGTGGACGAGTTTGGTGTTTTATTTTTATTTTGTGAAAATGTTTACTGTGTTCAGGCCAGCGGAGAGGGACAGAACTTTTGTTGGACCAGATAGTGTCTGTCACAGCACCTGTGAGAAACTCATCAAAGGGGAACCTGAAACTGTCTCTGGCACACCGAATTCCTGGCTGAAGTTAATGTTAATAAAGAGCGTGTCAGACAGCCCTGCCTTCCAACAGTCCTGGGACACAGGGCTCAGCTCACTGGGCCAGGCCTCGGCTTTTCCCTCCACTGGGAATGTTTATGGGGGGGCTCTGTCTTCCCACCTCTCCTCCTGGAGCTAAGAGGCTGCAGTTGCTCAAGCTTTTATCAGCTGGGGCGCAGCTGGAGCAGGAGGCAGGTCAAGGGTGTCCTCCACTGCTAAAAACGTAGGAAGGGCCATTCTCTGTCGCGTTTAGATCGTCGTAATCGGTGAACCGACAATAATTCCCTGAGGTCCGGACCTCAATTTTCGCACCTGTGGGTCATACATGAAACTATCCACTGATCACCTTTCGGGGCTAAGTTGCCAAATTAATATTCCGGTTCCCAGGGCTATACCGAGGGTACTTCCCGGCGCAGAGGTTTCCTAGGAGTTGGGGCGCCGGCGGCTGGGAGCCCCTCTCGCTCGCGGGCCGGGGTCCGGGTCCGGTCCAGTCCAGGTGCCGGGTGTTGGGAGGCTGAGAGCTTGGCCGC